TCTACCCATGTTGTCGTTCGCGTGTTGTGATCAACAAAGTATGGTCGACCTTCGGGTGTATGCCGCTGTTCCCAACCAGACGGGAGCTCTCCTGTTCCAGCAGTAGTCGCTCCTGTTGCCATCATGCTTGCAGCATTGGCCGAACCAGCAGGCGGTGATGGCTGACGATCGGTGAGAGTGGGCGAGTTGGCTCCGGTCCTATCTTCAGGCAGCATGCGGTTCTGATGTCGCATGCGCTCCTGCTGAGTCTGCGCAGCTACATCTCGGCGCTGATCAGCCTCGTTGAATCCTGCGCCCGGCCTGATCCAAGTGGTTTGTCTAGTGTTGTGGTCGACGTAGTAGGTTCGGCCCAGATGATCCTCGCGACGCTCCCAGCCATTTGGCAATCTTCCTTGAGCATCCTCGAAAGCGCTGTATGCACCGCCGCTGTTGCGAGCTGGAGTCGCTCCATTTGGCGCGGGGCCTGGGCCAGCGGGCGGGCCAGTTGGTGGGCCAGCTGGAGGGGCTTGACTGAGACGCTGGGCAGCTGGTTGGCCGGCGACTGAGGGTCGTTGCTGACCGGGGTATACGTCGGGAGGATGAAGGTTCGTCGTCGACTGTTGTGGAGTTGAAACAGCACCAGGGACAGCACCGTTGACGGACGGGTGCGGGGATGCGGTCGGTCGGGTGGCGTTCTGAGCTCCCTGGGTAATGGGCGCGGTGAGGTTAGTGGAGAGGTTGAGGATGAGCTTGCCATGGACGACCATGTTGTCGTTTGACTTTTTGAGGTCGCGCGTGAGCATCTCTGAGGGGCTGTTAGCAGATGATGTAGACTGGCATGCATCAGGCCTACCATCCCCGCCGGCATCGAGGTCTATCACCGACCCTATGCGGACATTGATGACGCCCAGGAAGCCCTGGTCCTTCTTCTTGAACTTCTTCTGGTCAAAGATCTGAACCGCCAGAACGCTCTCCTCGTTCACTTTCCTGTGTCGAGTGTTAGCGTCATGATGCGAAGGCATGCGAGGCCAAGGCCCAGGGCAGCGTACATGTCGAAGCTCTCGTTCCAGTAGGGGTTCAGCGTCTTCTTGATGACGCTGGTGGTGCGCGTCTGCTCGCCATTGATTGTGGCTACAGCGAAAGGGTCCGGAAATCCTGCAGCACATGCATGAGCGACATGACGACGCCGGGCTGGGTCAGGGCATACGTACGGAACACATCGCGCTTGTAGAGCCCATCGGCGGCGATGACTGCGGCGTGTTAGTTTGGTCGTGGGGCTCGCAGGACTCGGTGGCGGCGGTTGAGACATACTGGTGATGCGCAGGTTGGGCTGGCCAGCGCCGTCCATGATGCGCGGTTATGCAGCGCGACAAGCGGTCGCGGGTGTGGGATGGAGCGGGGACGGGCGACAGAGGTAGAGGGGCGGCTCTCAGAGCTCGCGGTGGTTAGGGGCCTCTTCTCTGGTGCTGGGTTTGGTTGGTGATGTATGGCGTCTCTGGGTTGGCTACGGCGGAGCGACGAGGGTACAGTACAGGTACTGGAGGAGGCTGTGCGAAAGGCGACCGTGCGCAGTCTACTACAAAGGCAAATGCGGCGGGCTTTCACGGCGCTGCCCGACGAGTCTCCGGCCTACGATGGTAATCGCTTATACAATCCTTTGCAATCGCTGACACCCCAAGTCACCCACAAAGTCTTTCCACTCCAGCCCTGGCGGCTAGGGCGTTGAGCGCTGCGGCGTAAACGATGCGATTCCGGGAGGATGCCTTCTGCTACCTTGGCGCTTGCCCCGCAGGTTGTGTCGGGGGCGATGCGAACTGCTACTGCTACTGACTGGCGCCTGACCAGAGTCTCGATATATGTGGCCGTCGAGGGCAACCTTGAAATGCTTTGGAGAGGAGCAACAAGATACCTGGTGCAGTCTACTTCCGATGGGCGTACCCGTGCATGTCAAGATTGCCTTTGCTCTCGCGACGCATGGCATCGATGATGTCAAACCGCTCTACCTCCCTGTCACCGCCCACTAGCATGTCCAAGAACCAAAATAACAACATATCTCTCGACCACATCTCTGCTGCTGCTTCGTATGCTGCTTGGACCGTCTCTGATGCCATCTGCCTCTTCTTGGTGCCTCTCACTACATGTTTCCATCTTCTGGGCGCCAAAGAGCGCCCAGAAGCTGCTGTCCATCAGACGACCACGCCTCAAACACATTGCAAACCATCTGTCAAACCCCAAGACGAATGGCAGTCTTGGACCCGAGCCACATGCAAGGCCGCACATTCTTGGGTAAACGGCACCGCCACACGTACATTCTGTAGGAACCAACACGTCTAGGCCCGACTACGTTCCGCCCGTTCCGTCTTGCCGTATCCATCTTCAGCCAGGGTGGGGTTCACTGCGACATATACACGCGTGCACCTCAAGATGAGTATCAGGTTTCGATATCATAACTCTAACTGCGCCCGTGACTTTCCAGCTATGTCACCAGCTTCTAATGCAAATCATGTCAAGTCTAATGTTGATAGTCGCCAAACTCCACGCTCGTCATACCCTACTCCCTAAAGCTATCCCCAATCTCAATCTTCCTCATACCCAATAGCGCTCTTAGCTTCAGGTACGTCTCGTACCCACTCAACTGCATCTCAACTCTCATGTGCCTTGTCCACGCACCCAGCCAACTCAGAAAGTTACTGGGCCAAAGTATACTACCGTTGAGGTTGTCTAAACTCTCTTCGTACACCGTGCGACTGGCATACCGAGCGAGGATAAGAAAAGTGCGCATAGGACCTTGGCGAGTATGCAGACCTTCATCCAAGGACCGCGCTACAAGAAAGGTCAATATAGATGCTCAGGTGATGGGAGGGACCAAGACTTACTCAAATCATTAGTTTTCAAAATCAACAAAATCACTCTCGGAACCTGTCCAAGCAGCTCGATCAAACTCTCCAACAACCCCTCTCCCAACGCATCTCCAATAACTTTCTTCTCTTCACTCGTCCTGCTCGTCATTACACCACCAGTGCCACTCTCCTTCTTTGCCAACACGGTATAATCTCTGCCTGTAATGGCCGAAGCAAAGAGAGGGAAGTGCTCTTCCTTGATCCCTGCCACCTGGTAAGCGTATTTGCGCATACCAGCTTCGTCGGCGTCCAATACGGCTAGCCAGAGTTTTGCGTAGTTGCGTCGCAAGGGCATAGGGATATCACGATAGAGGCCGTGATCGTATAGCACCACGTCAAAGTTGGTCTTGCCTGAACGAGTCGGGTTGTGCCGTATAGCAATGTTTCCACCATGCGGATCGCAATGGAGTGGCGCATCTCTGCCAAAGATCATCTCGTTGAATATCCTAGCCAGTGCTGCCGATACTTCGTCTCTGTCAATGCCATGTTCATCCAAACTCTTGAGGTCGTCCGTTCGAAACCCTGATACGTATTCCATGACGAGTAACCGGCGCTTTGCCCAAAGGACTTTGGGTATGACGACGGGTACATCGCGGACGTGAGAGAAGTATTCTCGCGCACGCATGGCATTCTTGCCTTCGAGGGCGAAATCGAGTTCTTGTGGCAAGGAAAGCTGCATTTCGTCGGATAACCAGGTCAGATCGTATTCGGGGAACCAGCGCTTGAGCGTCGTAAACGAAAAGCTTGTCAAAGCCAAATCAAGTTTGGCCCACTCGTCCAGGGCCGGATGTTGCACTTTGACGGCGACTTTCTGACCCGTCTCACGAACCGTTGCACGATGTACCTGGGCGAGGGAGGCTGCGCCTATGGGCTGTTCCTCAAATTCCGAGAAGAAGTCGGAGAGCTCAAGGCCCGTGTCTCGTCGGCACATGTCTTGTATGGATTCGAAGGAGGATACGGGACATTTGTCTTGCAGTGGTATGAAGGTATCGCACCATTCGTTCGGCAGCAGGTAGTTCATGCTGCTCAGATGTTGTCCCAGCTTGATGAAGATGGAGCCGTTCTTCTCGAGTGTGTGTAGGGTACGCTTGGCGCATCGTAGGTGGCAAGCTTTGAGTTGCTCGTTGTAGTCTGGTTCGTCGTCACGCTTGAGTACGTCGCGGTAACTGCACAAAGGTGTATATTAGCCATGGATTGTTTGGTTGTGCTGGACTATGCACGCATGCACATACTCTCTGATGTTGAGCACCAGCGTTGCAACCACTCTGTAGCTTCGCTGCGCTGCCACGTAAGCATGCTTCGCGTCGTCATTGACTGTAACGACTGCTGCGCCAATTGCAATTCCACCTCCAGCTATCAGCAGCCTCGTCCTCCTCTTGCTGCTCTTGGAACTCCTCCCTGCAGCTTTGGGTGTGGCATTGGCCGCCTCATTTGCTTGGCTTGCAAATGTCCTCGACGACCCTATTCTGCTTGCGAAGGCATTGTGCCCCGCCGAGGTGCTTCGTTGTTGCCACAAGCCATATGGCTGCGGTGTCGTCTGTCGCTGCGATCGTATACAAGCTCGGCAGATCCACGTCCTTCGGAGGAGCGGAGAAGAAAGGGCGCTCAGGGTCGACATTATGTTTATACCATGGCCGGCAGAGTCCAATCACTGCAGAGTCTATGGGCCTGAGAGAGGAAGATGCGAAAGCGAGCGACAAGCGGCAACAGACCGCTTCTAGCCACAAATGTCGTCGTTCGACATTTTTCGATGAAGGCGCAGCGCGAATCGGATCCCGGACACCACACCCCTGTCGGTTTGCGGCGAGCATCGACACTGCCGAATTGGCACCACATGCCCATGCACATTACCCAAATCCCATGTTTACGGATGCAAATGTTCCTACTCATGTATTGAATTTGACCAACATTCCAGACGCGTATAAGACGAATCAATCATCTAAAGTCAGGGAAAGCTGCATGCAATAAGAGACTCCGTCTAGCAGCTATCAGTCTGTAGCAAAAGGCACCTGTCCGCCTCTCTTCCAGTGGTATAATCATTCCTCCGCAGGATATTCAGTCTAATACGCAACGCCATAACCGCATTACTGCCTGATCTCGCACCTATGCATAACGTGTATTCTACATATCGACAGTCTCGTTGAAACAAAGTACACCATTGCCCTTCAGGTATCCATCGACTCCGTCTGGTGTGTTTTGTCGGCGGGGATTTGCAACGTGGAGGTTTGCAGGCTGGGCGGGTTCATCTTCTGGAGAGTCGGTAATGTCTGTGACGAGGACAAGGCCGGCCGTCTTGATCGATTCAATGAGAGCGGGAGCGAGCGACTAGGATCTGTTAGAGAGAAGGTGTATGGTAATTTGTAGGATACTCACCAATAGACGCGAGCTACATATCAGGCCCATGAAGTTGTTGTCCCTAGCAATCTGTACAGCTTCCTTGACAGACGTCGTTGTGCGACCGCTGCTTTGAATGATGTGTGTATTTCCAGAGGGCGACTGAGGGCTATCCGCACCGAGCTCGTTGCAGAGCAGAACTGGGTCTGTTTCAGAGTTAGCATCTTTTGCGTATCCTCCCATAAGTGTCATGCTCACAATTCGGCTGCTTCCAGTTTATGACCGTGCATATGTCCTGGTTGAAAGAGCTGAATAACACACTCCTCAGAGTACCATCTATCTCACCAGCACCTTGTTCCCTCAGTTTGCGTGCATGTTCAAAAACTACCGACAGGATCTTATCTGCGAAGGCATTCATGTCATGTGTGGGGCCAAGCTTCAGACGTTCCTCTTCAAGCCGGGACGGGAAGAGAACATGCAGCTCGACATGGATGTGAGCCGGCAGTGCTGATAAGGCATCCTTCAACGTAATGAACGACGAAGCCATGATTTGGTAAATGTTCGGTATGTTTATCGAGCCAGTGTTGTTAAGTTCCGCAGCAAGCTGATTCGCAGCCGCGGTCGTGTCCTGAACACCGATTGCTGCGAATTGCGCATACGTAAGTATGTTGACTGGCACTTCCAATCCGTGGTGGTTGACCTTCCATCTCGGATACAGCACTGGTATACCATCGGCAGTCAGCTGGACGAACAGACGCACATATTCGCCAGATAGGCTGGAGCCGGTAATGAGTGTATGGGGCTGTGAGTCGAGCTGACTAGTGGCCTTCCAGTAGGTCGCAAAGTGGGTGATCTCGAGCGGAATGCCGTGGAAAGGCTTCACTACTTGAAAGTCGAAAGTAACTCTGCCGATCGCCCGCAGTCTTGGGTCAAACAACTCGAGGTGCCATCGTCCAGAGCTCTTCGAGCGCTCTGTAAATACTTTTGAAGAGGCGACGCTGCGAGCGATGACCTTGGATCCTATTGTGGGGTATACGTCGAAGTCGATGGAGAAAGTATCTAGGTTCTCGATCTGGAAAGAGATAACCTTGAACTCGTCTTGTATGGGTAGCAGAATGTTGCGTGGTATGAGATCGGAGCTTTTTGAGGAGATTGTAAGCCTTGCCGCGGGATATTTCGATTCGTCGTAGAAGCGAATCGCCTCTTTGCCCACCTTTTCGAAGCTGATCACTACGAATGTCTTTGTATCGAGGAAGTTATGTCCATATCTTCGGAATGGTATAATTGGCGGCGGCAGAATGAACTCGGGTATGCCATCGGGGTCGCCTTCGATGTCCATAGCTGTAGGCATCGAGCTAGACAGCTGAGACGTCATTTGAGGCGAGACCTGTTTCTGTGATATCAATCCGACTCCACGCCCAACAGAAGCAAGTAGTTTCATACACTCTAGATGCCCTTCCCATGTAGCGTAGTACATGGCCGAAAGACCTTTCTCATCCACAATGTCTACATCGACCTGACATTGGAGCAGCGTCTTGAGACACTCCACATGACCCTCGCTCGCAGCGTGGAACAGCGGCGTCCATTGGTAAAGCTTGTCTGGTTGGTCGAGGTCCGCGCCGTACTTTTGCAACATCAACAGTGCTTCAGGTGTCTTTCCCGATCGTGCCACCAGGTGTTGTGGAAACAGTCCTTCCGCATCGGAAAGCATCTCAGCAGACCTCTGTAGAAGAAGCTCAAGGATCTCCAATGATGCGTACTGACACGCAAGATTGAGCGGCACATGCTCTCCAGGCCCTAGACGCGTCAGGTCGGCGCCCCTCGAAAGGAGTATCTCCACACAAGCGAGCTTCGAATGCACGATTGCATGGATCAAGGGTGTAAAGCTATCCTGATCACGGAAGTTCACCGTTTCTGGGGCAGCGTTGATGAGTTCCTGTACTAGCTCGACATGTCCATGCATACAGGCGTAATGCAATGGTATCCTGCCGTACACGTCGGTTGCATGTACATCCACGTTACTCGATAGGCCAAGCTTAAGCACTTCGATTCTTCCACTGATAGCGGACTTGTGAAGACAATTTCGCTCGTTGATTTCGTCCTCTTGTTCGAGATTTACGAGGTTCGAATCGAGTAGAATTCTCAGTGCAGATTCTGGCGCTTCTGCAACGGTGCTGAGGAACGCCCTAGAGATGTGCTCGCGTGCATCGGGAAGGGTCGAAAGGCGGGCTAAACACTCCTCGATCTTGCCTTCGTTCGCGGTGTTGATAGCTTGCACAAATTGGTTGTCAAGCTCGAGCTTCGCTTCGAATGCAGGTTCGGAGACGCGCGGCTCGGCTGCAGGATGGGGTGCCTGTACCCCTTCGCCTTCAGCCCATCCCGAAAAATCAAGGAGTGCCTGGGTTGCTTGGTCGGACAATGTGCTGATGACTTCTCGGTTGAAGCATGGCTGGACTTCGACGGCGCGCGAAAGGTATAGTTGCTTTTCCCTTGACTGGCACTAAGTCAGCCAGTGTCGATAGATACGTAGGTAATGACAACGAACTTTGGACGTTTTGTCCCACTAGACGCTATTAGCAGGCGGATGGCAGCAAAGAGGGATGCGTCAAACCTTCTTGAGGATTTTTGAGAAGGCTGTTTCGTTCACTTCCACAAATTGCTGAGTCGGGTTAGTATCGGAAGCCCCCAAGTGCATACGGACCAATCACCTCAAGCTTGTTGAGATCCATGCTAAACTGCTTTAGTCCTTCTTCGAGGGCAACATATCGCGAAGATGTCTTGGAGACAGATTGCGGGTGTTGTTGCATGACTCTCTTCTTGTCCAGTAGCGTGGTCAAGCGCAGACGCAACTGCAACTATAGTGAGCACTCATCCTCCGACGCACGAGTGCTAGAACATACCTCTGCCTCTTTCTGCAGGTAGAACGTGTTGACCTTTTCGAGCTCACGTTCCTGTTTATCAAGTAAGAATCTATGTACTTGTCGCGAGCACAAAGACGTACGACTCGGAAGAAAAAGGTGGCCTTGTTGGCTTGTAAGGACGACTGCGGATCCAGGGATTCATGGTGAAAGCCCTCACTCTGTGGCGGTATCACTGGAGTAGCGCTGAGTTTCTTGATGAGCTACAAATTATACGATTAGTGAAGCCCCTACGATACGGAAGGCATATGGACCTTCTTGAGCGCTTTGTAGTCGACAAAGCTGGCGGCATATTCTGGAATTTCCAGTTGCCTTTTTTGGATGTGCTTCCCGAACTTCCTGGAAAAGCGTGCTGAGTCAGTAGTGTCTTCTTTGGATGCAAGACTGGTCGACGAGGCTGTCTTTCTCAAAACCACCAAGGGGCGGGGTTGAAGGGTCTCCATATGAGGGGGAGACGTACATGATGCTAGCAGTAAGAAGAAATTCAAGAGTGCTCTTCTCGAGGCCTTGACGGCAATGCGCATACGATGCACAAGCGATGGATCCTGTTCCGGGTTTGATGTGCAGATCCAACCATACAGGACCCGCGATGACAGAGGTGTGGCCGTCAGCCGCCGCCTATTCGGCAGTGGAGACGAGGGAAAAGATCAAGATGTGCTGAGGCTTGCTGGTGACAGCCCAAAGAATGGCCGTGCGTAGTTGGTAGGGAAGTCGAGAAGTGAAGTCACTCACGATGCAGCTGGCGGTACCCTGCAGTTGGACCGATCAATCCATAGATTCGCTTGGACCTGGTCAGACAGCGTGTTAGCAGGTATTTGGTAGATGCCGAATGAGGGGCCAGGCTGGAAGGCGCCACCGACGACTCATTGTACGAGGGCCACGAGATTGTGCATACGCTGGCAGAAGAGCAGAGTGCCCATGTCGTTCAGACGACTGGTAAGGCGCGGGCGAATCAGGGTGCGTATAGCCGCCACGAGGTTCAGCAACTGCTCACGGACTGATATCGTTAGGTCGCTGGCATGGGGCAGGGGAGGTGTCGCATGCGGTTATTCTGCCGAATATTAGTTCCGTAGGAGGTGCTAGGGCGTTGGAAAGGCTGGAATCGCCCAATCGACGCTTTCGACGTTGTAGTGCCAGGGCCGTCGGGTTACGTAAGGGCGCCTGCTAGCTCAGTCAGGTAGCTCAACCGCATCCAAAGCATCTCCCCGACGCTTGATCGCGACAGCCGATGCTCACGCTGCCCATCATGTTCGCGCGCACTGCTACAGCCATCATCGAGGCTCAGCGGCATGTGGGTCTCATATACGGGAAGGCATGGCTCTCAAAGGCAGAGCCATACATGCCGGCAGGCCTCGTCATGCTGCATGATGCTACTGACTTCATCTGACTCGACTAACATCCAGTTGCAAAGTGGGACGGCCCGCGAGGGAGGGTTAAACACACATGCGCAATAGCCGCAAGGTAGCATCCAAGGCAATGCAAGTAGAAGGTAATCGCGTACATGAGCTTTATTCTCCGCCCTCGTCACGAGGTTGCCTCGACCCCTACAACGCTCCTATCAATGTTAGTCTGCAAGCCAAACCAGGCTACCTCCATACCAGCTATATATCCATGCGTCAAATGAAGAAGTAAAAGGTCTATAGGGTATTAGACCAGAACGAAACCATTTTCCTTCCCTCAAACTTTGCCGACACAATTAGCTCTATACTCCCCATCCAACGCAGCGTCGCGACCGTTTCTTCAGTCACCACAACCCTTGGCACTCACAAGCCATACATGTCCCATCCATCGAGACCTTCATCGGAGCGCTTACTACCTGCAGACTCGTGGGGAGCGCGTTCGCTATCGTACGGCGTGCGCGTAGCCACATTTGCATCCAACTCAACGTCAAGTCACAACTCATCGTCATCCATCTCCGAAGGCTTCAACAGACCACCGACCTTCATGGCTCGCTCACGCTCTTGATCCTTCGCCGTCTTCGCAGCCTGCTCACGCTCCTCGAGGAACAACTCAGCGTTATCCCCAGAGAACTCCTTCAAGGAAATCAAGAAGTCGCGCAGAATGACCTTGAAGCGGTTGAGGTCGGAGTTAGTCGCGAAAAGTCCGTCAATGAACGATGCGATTTGGGCACTTTGAACAGTCAGTAGGCGTTCATACAAGCGAGAAGGGACAGCTTACGTCTGGAGGTTGGGGAAGGCAGTCGCTAACAGGTTGCCGACAAAGTTTCGCAGGAACTCTCGGTTCGGTGTGCCTGCTGGCGCCATGTCTGGTGACGTGTAGATGGGACCTTGCAGCTTGTCTGAGTCGACGAGCCAGAACATCTTGGCCAGCAGCATCGACTGCGACTTGAAACCAGCCTTGTGATCGCTGTCGGTAACCACGAAGAAGACGTCCTGAAGGATAGTCGTGAAGAATGTCTGGAAGAAGGTGTTGCAAGTTTGCTGGTCTGTTTCGGCCATGTTGGAAACCAGCTCGAAGCACATGGAAAGGCCGGCACTCTCAACCTCACGGTTGTCGTGCTTGCTTGCCCACATGCATGAGTCAATGACGAACTTGAACGATCGTGCATCGAGGCGCAGCAGAGCGGGGAAGCAGCGAAGGTTGATGGTGCGCAAAAGCTTGAAGAACTCGACACGGTGTTCTGGGTATTCCGAGAAGTCCTTGTTGATCATGTCCAGAGTGCATTCGAAAACGCTATCCATGATGTTGATGATTTGATCCTCCATCATGCTCTGTGAAGAAAGTTAGCATATAATCTAAGAGTGACTGAGCGAGTCCAACCATGTGCTTGCTCAGATTGGGTCTCCAACGTACATGTAGCTTGTTGATAATCGTCGTCATGACGTTCAACACTTCTGCCTCACGAGCATCGGGAACATTGTTCTTGTAGTCGATCAAAACAGCTTCGAGCAGCTTCGGTACAATGTTGTTGTGGATCATCTCCAGGTCATCGGCCTTCTCAACGTAAGTGTTGATGAGTTTTAGGATCTCCTTCTTGATTGTACGAAGTCCGCGGACCTTGGGCATCTTTGTCGCAATATTACCCTCTCGTTGGACAGCTTCGTCGATAAGCTGTGAGCTCGCGCGGTACATTGTCAACATGTCGAAATATATCCGGCCGATCTGTGGGTAAAAGTAGGATCCAATTGAGCCGCATGCTGCGACGTTCGTCTTCATAATATTACCGACAATCTTGATGACTTCTGAGTCCTGGAGACACGCAGGGTTTTGATTAGCTTGAGCGATAATGTTGTCCCAGGCAGAGTTTGGCAAAGCCATCAAGTCGGCAATCAAACGCTCCTGCATGCTCTTCTGTCCTTGCGCGCTGATCATGTAACCGCAGGCCTCGTAAAAAGTGTGGACTTGTTGAGGCGAGAGATCAGCAGTAATTTTCCTCAGGTTACGAACGATCTCGTCAATGAATGGCTCGGTTTCCCCAGGCTGAAGAGCAACAAAGTGTCGTCGGCACTTGTTTGCAATCTTGATGAACGTATCGCAAGCCATGTCCTGCACACCCTCGTGGGTCTCGTGCATGAACTCGAATAGCTTGTTGACAACAGTCTTGAGGAACTTCCAGTGTGCCTTAAGGAATCGAGGATATTGACCGACAATATACATGATGTTACTGGCCACGACAGCTTTGTTGTCCTTTCCTCGCTTCATTTCGGTCAATCCAAGCAAGTCCTTGATTACAGTGACCAGGAAGCGCTTCTCTGTCTCCTCGTTCATGGCGCCAGAGATGGAACCGATAGCCCAACAGAGGGTATTGCAGTTGGCCCATGACCACTCTGAACCATCGACCTGGCGAGCCAGCTTCTCCGACATGATTTGCTCGGTGTCATTAACATCCAAGTGAGTAAGGAAGACGAGGCATTCTCGAGTAGACTTGTACAGTTGAATTGTGTCACTCTCCTTCACGAATTCACGGACGATCTCGCCCTCGTCGTTCTCGACGATGAGAACTTCCTCGGGCCTGACCATCTTCTCAATCATGACTGTTCGGAGGTTTGAAAGAATTTCGGTGTACTTGTTCTTTCGCAGAGGATAGTTGGCCAGCTCGCGAGCTCCATTGCCAGGGATACCCATGTTCAGAAGAGGGTTCATGTCGGTTATTGGGAGCGCCTGCATCTCGTCGTATAGCTCTGAGACGAGCTTGGTCCAGTATTCCAGGCAGATTTTGAAGACTTCACGATCGTCGATTTGGCTTATGCGAATAAGGTAGAAGTGGCCATGCGTAAGGAAGTCCCTGTTCATAAGGTTCTCGATGACGTTCAGATGCATGGTGAAGAAGTTTGTCAGGAAGAGCGCGAGATTCAGGACGAACTCCTGGTCCCGGCCATTGCTAGAAGAATATGTACTCTTCAAGTCCAGTGAGAGGGGGATGATCTTGGAGATGGCAGTTAGTGTCTCGGTGAACATCTGGACGAGCTTGTCGTCGTATGCGGGTTCGGTGTGCAGGCCAGCGATCTCGGTCAAGCATTTGAGGGTAATGTTTCGGAAGTCAGGAACTTCGAGGAATCGACTCCGCAAAGTTTCAATAAGGCTCTGGCCACTCGGTGGTGTCTCGAAGATGTACCCCAGAGGGATCCAGTTCAGGAAGCGCAGCAAGGTTTCGAGAGTCGCCTTGATGAGAGCAGCCTCGGTGGCTGTGCGCAGAACCTCTGAGCAGAGCTGGTAGATGGCTGTGAACTCGTCACACATGCTTTGCTTGAGTTCCTTTCGCTTGGCCGAAGTCATCTGCTCCTCTGAGTAGTCGAAGACCTCCTCGGACAGGAGTCGCAGGATGACCATGTTGTTCTCGCATATCCCCAAACTGCTATGGCACGATGATATAATCTCGTTGATGAAAGTTGGCCAGTTGTGGGGCCACTCCTGCTTCAGGACGGAGACGAGGACGAGGTTGAGCTTGTTTAGAAGGGTACGCTCGGTGCGGCGGCTTTCGTCGTTGTTGGATAGCTGGATGATGAAGTTCACGATGAAGTTTCGGATACCTGACTCGGTCAGCAGCACTCAGACGACAACTGCGATGTGGCATACCTTGACACTGGTCGCGAGGCAGTACCTTCCACCTCGTCATGATAACATTGTCGAGAACCTGTAGTCCGAGATCTGCCGATAATTAGCACGATGACCACCAGCCTTATACCACGTCGCTAAGCTCACACTTGGTCTGCGGGTATTGCGCATCGGATAGGATCTTGTCGACTAGGAGCCATGCGTCGGGGTTCTCTTTGAACTACGCAAATGTTAGCGGGATGCGTGTGTAAACAGTGTCAGCGAAGATGCCTACCTGGTTCAGCGTAGCCTGAGCTTGCTTTTGCTGCAGAAGATGGAGTGTCAGCCATGTCCTCATCACATTCCCCATTCAGACTCCGCATGGAAACCTACTGTGTCGCCGCGACCCTCGTAGAAGGCGCGCACTGTGGCGTCGAGCTCTTCGATTGACAGAGACATGGCGGGCTGCAGCGCGGCGGGAAAAGCTCCCAATCAGCCTTGAAGTATATTCTATTTCCCCAAGAAGCTCAAGCGTCGGCTCAGCTTCTTAAGCAGTCGGCGTGTTGGCGCGTTGGGCGTGGGCGTGGGCGGAGGGCGAGCGCGCAAAGGTCCGTTGCCTTGCAGAAGTTGTGTACAGACAAAGGTGGGGCACTTGTGCGGCGGAGAGTGTGTGCGGGCACGCTCGTCAAACTCTTGCGGAGGTTGTTTGTATCTGAGGATCGCTAGGCCGTGATCAAGACTGTCTTTCTAGCTGCTCGCAGTGGTGGATGTTTCAAGAGGCACGGGTTTCGCGGTGAAGTCGCGTTTGTCAACTGGAACCAGTCTACCCGTGCCGAGAGACAAGCACTAGCGCTAACTGCTCCACCTTGGATCGACTGCTACCCTGCATCTTCCTTCATATCATCAACTCCGCTTAGAAGCCCAAGCATCTGCTTTGCTAGGTTTCCGATAGGTGACATACCCATGTGCTGTTGGCGGGTATACAAGAATGCTTCACCCTGCACACGTGTGCGCTACCATGACGAGGTCATCAGAAGAACAAAGCAGCTTAAGGCTTCCTCATTTATAACTGATGATGGCTTGAAAAGAGATACAGAGGCGTTCTACATCCTGTTATATTCTCGGCTTACCTATAACCTGCTACTCACGGTGCTATCGGGACAGGAAACGTCGTTGTAGGCGTTCTTAGAAGATTGTATGGTGTTAGGTATCCGGCCAGTATTGCGCACGTTTGGAACCAGCAGCAACAGACGTATCTTGATATGTGCGTTTCACCACAACATCTGGATTCAAAGGTTCTGCGCTGCGTAGATCATGCGGGAAAGACACAATGTAGGAGACATTATTTTTCTATAACGATTTCGTTTAGTATCTAAGGTTGGCTGACGATGGTCCATGAACACGCAACCTCTTTCCGTACCGTCAATAAATCTTATGCCTTGACCCTGCCATCCTTGACCATCTCCCGAATCGCGTCGATGCTGCTCTCAACTGCTTTCTTCGCCATCTATCATCTCATTAGTATCCAACTCAAAACCTGCGTTGTTCGCATCCGCCATTCCAGTAAGACAATGACAGTGAGCGGGAGTACTTACGCCCTTGAGTCGTTGCCTCTCCTTGTCAGCTTCTGGAGTCCCCTCTTGCAAACTTGGCATGATCCACTCGAAAGCATAAGTCATGTTCAAGTCCTCGGTCTCACCAGATGGACCATCGGAGATGATGTTGCGGACATGACTTCCGTCTTCTTGCTCGAAATCGACCTGTGTACATATAGTCAGCATATTTCCTACATCAAATTGAGGAGTTGCAAATGTTTCATCGTGCTTTAGATATCGACCTTGGGGGCGAGTTCCACTCACCCAACTCGGCCAGTAGCTTCTAACGACTTCCTTGGCCTGATCCTTGGGGCCCGTTCCCTTCTTGAATTTGACGTCCCTAGTTACCACTCCATCTTTCTCTTCAAGTACCTCGCAGCTCTCAATCACAGGCACGAATTCTTGGGCAAAACGTATCTTGCGCTGCAGGCCAGCCCAGATTTGTGCTTCGTTGAGCACCGGTGTCGCACCGGCGGGGTTGATGCGGGAGGTGTATGCAATGTTGATGTTCACCATGTTTACGAGTATGCTTCAAGAAGCGGTTTGTTCGTGTTGTAGGATGGTTTGAGTGATAGATGCTGAGATGCGGAAGCTGCTGCCTGTTGTACTGCAGGCGTGGGGTAAGATGGCAGTCTGATGTCAGTATTGTTTGATGAGAAGGGATGGCTTGATGGTGGTGCAATGTTTGTGTTCTGAATGCTGGAAATCACTCTATATACTCTCTCTTGCCTTGTATCATGTACGTAGTGGAGCAACTGGCGTGCCGAACAGATTCCAAGGCTTGGGTAAGCAACGACGTTCGGCTCCCCCCCAAGGCCGAGCTATGAAGAGCCGCTTATGCAAGGTACTCTTGAGAAGAGCGCGAAGAGCCGAATATTCTGCTAGTTTGCTGTGAAATCATTTAGCTAACTTGACATGTTCTGTAATGTTTTTACATAGTGGACAATTCCCATCAGGCTTAGTCAGTTCCGGTGAGACTTCGGGATTGTTGCTCACCACGACCAATGCGTGTTGCGTGCATCACTGAATTTGACAACGAAAAAAGCTAGAACAGTTCAAAGTTTTCAAGTCCATCAAACGTGGCGGGGCATGATCTGTCATTGAGGTATCATTTCACCAGCCTTTCGCTCTAGATATCCGTAGTAGCTACTCAGCACAACCCGCCGGAACGCCATGCTTTTGATATGCACATCACCCTTTCCCCTTATCCTTGCAAGTACTCTAAGCATCCTCAACGATCTGGGTGTGCAGACCCTTGGGGTCCTTGACGTTGACGGCCTGGACGTAGGAGTAGAGCTTCTCCTTGGCACCCTCCTCGTCGTTACGCTTACGGGAGATGCGGACACGGAGGCGGAAAGGAACGCCCTTGATACCGGACTCCCAGACCTTCTTGTTAAGCTGGGGGTCTAGACGGACATCGTTGGTGCCCTACAGTGAAAGAGTTAGCCTTGAGCTCATACGATCGATGACGCTGTGGCAGCATTCGCATATAGCGCACTGGCCAAAGAGTCATTGAACCTTGGATGCCACATACCATAGCCTGCTTAGCGAAAGCGCGGATCTCCTTGACAGCCCTGGGGGCCCTCTTCTTGAAGCTGACACCGTGAACCTATACCCGATGTATTAGCCTTATGTTCTCTTCAGTCTTCCGCCCGATGCCTGCATCGCCAAGAATAGATGCTCAAGCCAGTGTGATCGGCCTGGTCGAACATCCACCCAAGGTTCTGCGAGACCATCTGTGGACTTCACAAAACTGAATCAACATACGCGCTTGTGGAGGTGGATGGTGTATTCGCGGGCGACGACATCGGCGATGGCGCTGCGGCCGGTCTTTCCAGCAGACTTCTTGCCGGCGGACTTGGTGGTAGGGGCCATTTCTGAAGAGAGAATATATGTTAGCAAATGCCTATTACAGCACCAAACAGCTGGAAGAAGGTATTGTGAGGGTCGCGCATAGCAACTACATTCAAAACAAGACAGAGAGCGCAATACATACTGACAGAGGTTCTCGCTGCGGGGGTTAGTCGAAGATGAGGATGCGAGTTTGAGGCTTGGAGTTCGAAAAATCGCGATGGTCGAAAATCCAATGCGCCTCGTGTGGCCGCTTGCTTAGCGCTGGGCACGGGCCACTACTCCACGTGAGAATGCTCCAAGCGCTTTCAACGTTCCATCGTTAAGCAAGAACATGAGCTTAGGCTGAATCGTGATGCGTTTGTATTTGGGTATCCATAACTTTCTACATAGGCTTTTCGTATGTTTCTAGGTCGCTATTCAAAACAATGCCCAAGCGGTACTCATAACACATCCTCCTTGGCCTTCCCAGAACGCCTCAGTAACGCCTTACACATGCCCTGGCAAATCAAATTCCTTGCCGCGCTTTTTAACGTTGACTTCGACACACTCGTCTTCATCGTCTTCATCATCGTGGTGTTCGCTTTCATCACTGCTACTGTCGTCATCGTCTTCTTCATCTTCGTCTTCGTCGCCTGCAACGAAGCGATTCAGTCGTCCACCATCTTCGCCCCAAAATTGCAACCCTTCGGGATCACGATCTTCTGAGAGATCCAATGTTGGAATCTCTTCGAACAAAGCCGGGTTCAGGTCGTTCCTGAAGCGGACGAGAGACTGCGTGAAGCGTTCCAAAACGTATTGTGGTAGTGATGGTTCCTTGACCGTTGTGCCATCTGTAGCCGGACGCTCAGTACGGTCGTCGCTACCGAGATCGATGAATGGTACATCTTCTGCTCGGACATCCCCCGTTGGATTAAGATAGGCATCGAATGATCGACGCACACGTTCAAGCATCTGCTGTGCAGCATCAGGCATTTGAGGCATCTGAGGCATTTGTGGAAATTGCGGTATCTGTGGAAAATTCGGCAGCGGTGGAAACTGCGGTAAAGATGGGAACTGTGGCATCTGAGGCATCTGTGGCATGCGTGGTCTGCCTGGAAACTGTGGCATCTGGAAAGGGAAAGAGGGCAGCTGACCTGGTAGCCATGTTTCTTCTGGCTCATCTGGTTGAAAGTAGTATCGAGGTGAACGTAACGGTGCTTGGGAGGAGGGCGAACTAACGCTCGCGGGTGATCTCGAGCCTGAGTCAAGATCGGCATCCAGTATCGCGTTGGCAGCCTCTTCACTCTCTGGTCCATTCAAAATACGAAGTTCGTTCGTATTATATGAATCGCATGTACCGCATTGGTTTCCGAGCCAGTGGTATTTGACGGAAGACTTGGCTGAGCAATCGTTGCACTGAACGACTGCTCGGGTATTTGCAAATTGTTCTGGCATCGGCTGACCCTCGATTGCTTGAGTCAACTTCTGCCACTGCAGATCCATACACACAGCGCTCTTCTTGCAAATTGGGCACTTGTACGCAGTCTGCATGTAAAGATTGTAGCATCCTTTGTGCAAGTAATGCCCGCAAGGCATGGAGACTACAGCGGTGGACGACGTGAAGAGATGATCGCCGCAAATCGGACAATCGCCCTCAGTAGCCCGCGGGAGGCATTTGTGCGAGGTTGCATGAGAGATGGATATGCAAACATTGCAGCTCTGCGCACGGTTAGTGCTGGCTAGATCATGGCGAGACTATGTCCATACCTTGCAGTGATAGAAATCCTTACCCAGGCCTTCTCCTCGTCGGCAGATGCCACAGTCTGGGCAGTGGTAGATCTTCTTCTTGCTATTGTTGTCCCAGAGCTTGCAAATGTCACAGTAGTAACATGCGGCCTCAGTCTCACAGTTCTTGCAGACATCGGCTGCTGGCTGAGGGGTGCCGCACGCCATGCACAGCATGTTCTGTGTCATCTTCCTGTTCAGGTTGTGGTCTTCAGCGGCATCGTGGCAGTGCCGACACGTGTACCAGCGGCGACATTCAAAGCATTGTACTTTGACATTGCGCTTGTAGTGCTGGCAACCAAGAACGAGTTCTCCTTCGGCAGTGTCGTCATCGTCGTCTTCGCCGTGCTCTGCACCGGCGTGGTCGTGATGGGGTCGATATGTCGGGTTCGCGTCGCCCTCTCGAAGATTGTACGAGATGTCGGGGGTGACGTCGGTTGTAGACGAAGACGAGTACGGCGACGAGGCATGGATGTCGGAGAAGAGGGACTGTCCGGAGGTTGGGGTAAAAGGGCGGTCGTGTGATACGAAGCTCGCTGGCGACGTGGGTCGCATGTGGTTGTACTTCTCCGTCATCAGGTTGTGTATCATGTGGGCACGCTCCTGATCGGATATGCTCAGGGCCCTGATTTCATGGATGCGCATGCGGAGATGGGCCATGCCATCGTCTGCGGGGAGCAACTCTGACATGGCGCTCACATTCTGGCTACGAGTGCTGGCCGGCTGTTGGAGCGACGTGGGCGACGGCGCAGTCGAGCGTGACAAGTCTACATCGAGGTGACGGAACTGATCTGCGAGGGTGCGGGATGGATTCGCGGACATTTCGACTGGGGTGTCTATTGGCAGATCGTCATGGCTCTGCTCCTCGTCAACAACAGCAGCACTGCGAGGCCGCTGCGAGAAGGACGAGTAACGTCGGACTCGATCCATCAGGGCGGTGGGCCGGGCCCCAGTTGCGTCGGTAATGTTTCTATCATGTGCGCTCGCCGGGTCCGCGTCCGTTTCGTGAGCCGGCCGTGGGACAGGTGCAGATGCAGAGTCGTGATTATCACATGCTAGAGACCGGGCTCCGTCATGATTCCCTTCGCCAACACCTGAGAACCGCCGTGCATGGCGCACAACGGGGTCAATAATAAACGACGAGAAGAGACTCATTGGGTCATCGTGTACACTCTAGGGACAAGTGGGAGGGGGGATGCTTCGTTTCAGGTCGCCCAGAGCCTCTCCTCCGGCGCTGCTCGCACTGTGCTCTTCTTGACCACGTTTCTGTGGCTCAGTTGCTCACATGCTCTCAAAACGCCACAGTCGCCACGAGGGAATCTTGGAAATCCTGCTGCCTTTCTTTCCTCGGGCGTCCCTCACTCCGGTCCGAATACGTTCTTTGTCTCTTTCGTCTTGTCTTGCCATCCTCAACACGACCCATCCCGCACCCGCAAGCATTTCCGGAACGGGCACACGACACACGGCCAGCTTGGTCGCTTTCGCAACCAGTGCATCGCAATGTGGAAACACCTCATCGGCAGACCCACGCCGTCTGCCTTTGCCGTCCCCGATGCCTGGTACTGGTCCCCTCTAGGCCCGATACCTACACGCTATCGTCAGTCCACCCGGAAGAGCAGGAAAGCACATGTGCAACGGTACCTGTCTCGATACAGGCATAACAGCTGTCACGCCATGCGCAAACCGTAGCGGTTTGACCTCATGCACATTCCCATTTAATGTTTGCTTTGTTTTGATTTGTGCGAGGTAACCGCAACGGTACGGCATTCCGCCGGTGTTTCTGTTCTCTACGCCGCGGGCTTTCCTTACCTTGGGCTTCGCAAGCGTTGGCGTCTGTTTAGGCCACCAACTCACCAAAGTTGCAGTGTATCATCAAGTCGAGTACATGTCTCCCGATTGAGAAAGTATTGGACGCAGCTGTTGATTACGGCAGATTTTCATGGAAATTACAGACGATGGTTTTGACGTTCCAGTGCCTTTTGAGCCACGGATGGCGACCGCCACAGTGGCAATCCGCATCCTTCGACACTTGGGTAGCTCCACCGACACCTATACCCTCATTGTACTACACGTCTTTTGTCGTGGCGACTTCCTGTCAGGGCAGTTTGAATGAAAAACTGTGGATTGCGGCGGACTTTTCGCGGTCGCTAAAAGGACCGATGCGATCCATCCTTCTCTACAATCCGCGGAACCACGATACAAGAACATCGCTTGTCTACTGTATAACTGACTCGACTACAAGTGGGTATGAACTGCGTGGATGCCAACACGCCGCAAAGGGTAAGTTCTCAGAGAAGATGTTGATTCCAGCAGAAAAACCCCGGTATGAAGACGAGCCATTGCAGCCTCGATTTCAACAATTCCACGGTACGACAGCGGCATGACGCATATCGCTGCCATGTCGCCGACTTGTCTCCCATGGGACGATCCCACGATACTACTACATCAAGTAGATTCCATGATATCCGTCGAATGCAGTAGCTATGTTATGGGTGGACGAGTAGACGGTGTGAGATGTTGACATGTCTCGTTGTCGACGCTAGACATCCACACCAGCCAAGCTCCCGCAACGATACCCTGGATCGGCATGCCAGCCCCTGATATACCCACAACAAGTAGTTTTACAATTTCTGTCGAAGTCAGAACGCGAACCAGGGGTGAGATTGTGTCGAGACGTCTCGTTCCCGTCCGTTACCCATGGATACGTTTCCGAGTTTGGTAAGATTTTGGAGAGTGTTGATTGCAGTCACGGTTTTTTGGATGACTACCAGAGCCGGTACCAGCAGCTATGACTCTTGTAGAGCATCAAATTTCCGCATTGCTATTGACAAATGTGCCAGGAAAGGCAAATCAGTGTAAAGTGTCGAATGTAGCAACATTTTCACGGTTGGCCATCAAGACTAGACATACGCTATCGAAGTTTCTATTCACCCCTTAATTTGCTTTGTGCACCACCTCGGCACTGTCTCCGTTCAGAAAACGATAGCGGTTTCTGGCATAACCTATTCGACTTGAGACAGTCGACCTCCCCTTCGGCTAGAGAAAATGTTTAAGTCGCTCAGAACTGGCTTCTCTCACATGCAATCACTCCATCATATAGTCACTCAAGCGAGTATGTCTTTGGGGTTTTCAGTAAGCCATCTGGCGATTACTTCATCATAGTCTGCGATATCCTGCCCGTATTAGTACATATCGAGCTCTTGAGAAGAGCCGTACTAATGCAGTTTCTTACACATCCCTTCAAACATGAGAGAATTTGGACTAAAGCTACAACCTGACCAAATCCCTACGTGTCTTCGAAATCGCCCTGGAGATGTACTTAGTTTGCAGACCGAATCGCCCATACCGTGTACAAGTGTAGCAGGTATTGGGCAAGAGGGAGGCTCATGGCACTCGACAAAGAGTCAAAGGAATTCAGAAAGGAGAAAAGGCGTCTTTCTCTAGAAGATGGTGGTCTGTCTATTATTGCCAGGTTGTGAAGGAAGAGTGGGTACCTTCCGGAGAGAACTTCACGCACAAACCCGTACTGTGCTCTACAGAAAGCAATGTGTGGTTCGAAACGATCTTGAAGCGCACCATACTGCTCTCCTAAACCAGCCATCTTAGTCAACTCTGCAAGGCCCAGAGCAGGGAGTTTGTAAAGCAGCGTCGTGTATGCATACGACTCTGTGTAGCTATAACCCAATAAGCTGAACATATACAAGCAGGTGATTCCTAGGTAAATTTGATCTACCGTAGGATGCGACGAGGCTGGACTTGTGATGCCCTTGTAGCGATAACAATATCCAAACCTGTCGATATTCACCTGCCGAGGGCTAGGCCGAAGAGAATTGCATACACTAGGTAGAGCATGCAAAACACGAAAGTCCAGAAAGATGTCGACACTAGAAACTTCCTTATTCGCTGTATCGCGTGTATCCATGATGGCTTTTGTTGAACAATACTTTGGCTTTCGGCTTCGACATCTTGCTTCTTGTGGGTTCGAGAGCTCCAAACTACGAACAACGACGCCGTGAACGATATGCTGTCAATAGATAGCTAGAAGGGCGAAGAAGGCACCACAATCGCTTACGCGGTAAAGTTAATGGTGTCATAAACTACGTGTAAATGGTAGAGACTAAGGCTATTCCACGGGAACATAGCACCAACAAGGAGCGCAATCCCTAACTAGATTAGCGACTAGGATGTTCTGTAGCAAAGGAAGCGTACCGTTGGATAATTGAACTTCACTGATAGACTCAAGAATCTTGACCGCAAAATCGAGTCTACACAAACGAATGAATCCTTTTCGGTGTACACCCCACCCATTTCTGAGGTCCTGATCGTCCGAGGTACGAAGACGTTTGGGTTCTGCTTGCAAGGTTGTATAGCAGCCGACGCATGCAAGCACCAATGACAAGCCTGCTAATACAGCAAACGCTACAATGAACTCAGAGAAGTAAGAACATGCCGACTGTACTTTGGAGGCACGCTCACCCCAACTCCAGCAATATCAGGGTTCGCAACTCCAATGTTCTCAGTTTTGCACTCCATACCTCGCAAAGCGGAGTTGTCGTACAGAAGAATCGAGTCGAAGGCCGCAAAATGTCTCAGCTGGGTAAGCTGGGTGTTTTAAAGTACATGAAGAAGCAGAAAGGCTGTCAGGATTGACAGTAAGGCCGGAAATAGTAGAGTGTGGTTGGCGAAAATCAGAAGCAAGTAAGCCAACTTCTGCAAACCTCCGCAGCTCTTGGTGAGTGAGACCGGCGCTATGCCATCGTTTGCAGAAGGAGGCTGAGGCTAATGAAAACGAAGACTGTACAACAGGATAATCATTTGACTGCAAATGCACCACAGTCAGTCGTCATCGCGATAATGATACACGCGCACAACACTAACACAACAACTTGTCTTTGCTACTCTTGTTTGACCTACTACATGCAGCTTGGAGTCGTCCTCTATTTCTTTCGAGGCGGAGGTCCTCGTTCGTATCTTCGTGTTCGCTGTCCAGGTATGAATTTTTCTCCAGGAAGCCTGTCCGCCCTGTATTTCCATTAATCCTTTGTACGCTCCTTGCTAGGGTCCGCTTAGCCGACTTACCAGGTTTTATGATAGCTTAAATTCGCACCGTTTTCTAGTGTTGTCAATCTCGTGATTTCTGTTATAGCTGAGGGTTCTTCCAGCCTAAGAAGCTTTTCTTCTTCTGTGAGAGACTCCACTTTTTCATCAAGAGCCGCAATCTCTTCTTGTATGGTTCTCTGCTTCTCCCGCTCTGCCAGCTGCTTTCCCCATATACCACTCTTCCGATTCAATTTATCGAAGGAATCAGTGGTGAGACCGAATGTATCAGTATCGCTTAGTATCCGATTGACTCTGTGCTTCTCCTCTTCAAGCATTGCGGCGATTTTGTTTCTATCGTCCTCAAACTTTGGGTCCTCCCAATACACCTTGTTCGGTCGCAGCCGCCGCTCGCGGTGTAGATCACCCACAAGGTATAAACTGCCTGTCAAAACGATAGGTCGGTCAGGATCTCTGAGATATTTAGCTGTGCATAACGCTCGAAGTGGGCCGCCCTCTGATGCAACCAATCCCATGATGCCAGGCTCGACAGATTTTGCCATGTCGAGAAGTCGACTGGGATCCATAGGCTTGACCCAAGGCATTCCATCCACCGGACCAAAAGTCGTAGTCACGACATTGTCTCCTGGTTGTAGTATCTGGCTTAGATATTTATGTGCATCTTTCCCTTCGGTCATGGCAAGCACCCATGTAACAGGCCACCCGTTTCGTGGGACACGACCCTCATTAGGGATCTTCTTCCTCCTCTGGAACTTTTGAACATGCTGACTCAACACCCTAGCAGCATCAGGATTATGGGCTCCATCTACCAGGATGGATTCTCCTTTAAACATCCTCGATGACACCGTGGCTCGTTGACCAAAGATAGGCGGTACTTGAACCGATTCCAATCGTCCCGGGTTTTCGACTTTAGACTTCCGCAGTATGCGCCCCATGTTCCAGGTTGTATACTCTCTACCGAAGCTCTCCATTACGGTCTTTGCAGCCATGGCAGCTATGACCATATTTTCTTGATGGACTGGTTGTGCTGGTAGCCAGTCCTTGTTCTGGAATAGTACCTTGGAAAAGCCTGGGGGATCGTATTCAAGACGAGGTCCTGCAGCAATTTCGTCTGCATACTCGTTGATGACAGATACGACGTTTTCCTCATTCTTGGGGTTGATGAGGTAGGGTACATGGGGCCTGAGGATACCAGCTTTGTGGTGTGCAATCTCTTGCAGAGTACTGCCCAAGAAGCTCTCGTGATCTCGCGCTATTTTTGAAATTACAGAAATCACTTGGTTGTTCAGTATGTTGGTAGCATCGAGCTTTCCGCCCATACCAACTTCAACCACACCAACCTGTACTTGCTCTTCATTGAAGATGTGGAAGGCAGTGGCGGTCAAGATCTCGAAATTTTAAGCTTTGATGCCTTTTTTTATGTTCAGATCAATGTAGTGCTTCTCAATTTTGCGAAAGAGGGCCTCATCTACGGGCTTGTTGCCAATGGATATGCAGTCCCATCTGCCAATGTTAGACAGCAACCACCTCACTTGACAGCGTGCCTACCTGTCTATGAGATGTGGAGACGTGAACTTCCCACATTTGAGTCTCTTAGAAAGCAGCGTCGATGCGAAGTGGCATACGGAGCCTTTGCCGTTGGTGCCGGCGACATGTATTGACTTCCAGGGGAAGTTGACATTCTTCAAGAGCTGACTGATCCTCTCCAAACCAGGCTGGATCATGGCCACAAGAGAAGTGGTCTATAGTAGTGTAGGCAGCTATGGGTCCCGAGGTCTAGGCGGACACGCGATGCTTTGAAACGAGGTACCTGCAGATGCGTGTTGACTCACTAGAACGAGTGGGCCAGAAACTGCAGACAGGCGCGCCCTTAGCGTGAGAGGCAGCCACGGCTTGGCGATCACAGTCGCGCCTGCCAAAGACGTCGACTTGTTTGGTGTAGGAACTCCAGGCTGTGTACTGTAGTAAAGTGCACAAGCTTCGTGTCTAGAGCCAAAGGTGTTTGCTATATAGAGATTGGTCAGACAATGCCCGACGATGTAGATTTCTTATGTCGAGGGGCTGCGCCTCCCCCAGACGCTTCAGCCTCACAGTTCTGTTCTAGGCGGTTGCGACGTGCGCCGCCCTAGTTCCTTCTCCGACCCATCGCCATTAGCATCATCCGGCGCGTCACCATCCACACGGCAACCACACCCATCTTTCTTGGAATCCCTAACTTCACGTATCTTGCGCAATGGGTATACCGATCGGATGGAATGTGAAGCGCGAGGAAGCAAAGGAGAAAGATGTACTTCGAGCCGACATCGCCGGCTCACGCTCACCCATCCGGCGCCGCGCAAGACCCAACAGATCACCGCGTCCTCGCAGCACACTCGATACCGATTTCCTCATCTCTGCTCCGCATATCGAGTGGATACCTCGCTCGTCACATCGCGCGCGTTTGGCGCCGCCACCTGTTCCTGAAGTCTCGAGGACCGAATACCGTAGCAACGAGGCTTCGAGGCACCCACCTACTCTACAGCGCGACGAGAGCAGCGTGCGCCGTTCGCGCAGTCGTCTTGATGGCTACATACGCGCCCACGAGATGCGCGCCACTCCCGACCACGAGCGCCCCTTAGCAGCCTTCACCCCAGGATTTGCGCCAGCTGCAGCTTCGCGGACGTCAGAAGCAGAAGCACAACGCGATGCGCAAGACCCTTTTTCACGCCTGCGAGGGTACTCTTCATACCGTCGCGCCACTGGACGAACAACGCGAACACGTTCCCAGAGTCCCCGTGCTGACCCATCTGGGGCGCGAGGCGACACTGCGAATGTGCCTGAGGAAAGCCACGAGACAGGCGAGAACAACGCTGTAGCTTTCCCTCCACTACGCAGGATGGGTCGCCGTACTATTGCGGATGGACCGCTACCCGCCAGCTCCTTGCGCGAGTCTTGGAGCCCTGTTGCTACACTGGACGGCCTGGGCGACCGGAATCGCAGTGTCAGCCCTTTTGACGATCAGTTGCAATGGGACAGTTTTCTCACCACTGTCGTCGACGACCCTGTCGCACCAACTGCGGGGTCATCCTTTGCATCAGCCGCAGCGTCAGCCTCATTCACAAACTCGCATACCAGTTCGCGAGCGGGAAGTGCCAATTCGGCGGCATCCTCGCAAACTCATCTTACAGTGCCATCCCGACGTCACTCACCTCCACAAAATGAACAATTCATGCGGGCATGCGATACCTCGGAGGATGACACAGCATCAGATACCGAAGAAGAAGAAATGGATATACGTGGCAGTATACGTCGTCGTACAGGCACAGAGGCTCTTAGAAACCGCTTGGGTATCTCACACTCGGCTGAGCCTCGCCGAAGAATGCGGCCGTCGTATTTCTCCAACGAGCCTCCTGCGCGAGATATAGAGCGTTACTCACTCCGCGTAATCGACCGATCGCGAGACGCCAGCGAAGTCGTTCGCAGCTTCTACAACTCGGGCATTTGGAGAGATGTCGAGACAGAAGTGGCGCAGAGGCCACAAATACCACAGCTTGATGGACCTTCAGAGGAAGCTGCGAGCGCCAGCGACAACGAGAGCATTCCTCCACTTGTCCGTGCCGACTCGCCGCCGCCGCCGCCACTAGATCAGGAGCTCCGTGACGCGCGGTCGTTGCTGGAGCGTCTTGCGCGCAGAGAAGATGTTAGTGACGACTTTTGGGCTTCGGTAGGCTTGACGCGGTCTTTTGCCGACCCTGTTGAGCGCTTTCAGGAGCTTGAGCGGTTGTGATCTGGCTTGCTATCCCTACTGCTTCCGTTGGCTTGGCTGGTCCTGCCACTTTGATGTTTGTCCACTTCTGCTGCAATCATGCTGTTTACGTTGCACTTTCTTGGTACCTATTTACCGATTGGCATTTGGCCGCTTAATGCTCGTGTTACGAAAAGTTATGCTCCACAATGTGAAGACATCTGTGGATGGCTTGGAACAAGTTCTGGGAGAATCAATCGTGGATTTCGTACTCCTTACGATGGATGACTCGTTCAATATCGTTATGTAGCTTGAGTTCCTAGAAAGAGGAACAAGAATAAGACACAACTTATTCTGCACCACCCTCACGTGTTCCTCCCCAATCTCATTCATCAACTCTGTGGTCGTCACACGTATCATACTATGGTCTTGATATGCAGGTGCAAGAAATTGAATATATATCGTATGCTTGACTCCTAGGATGCAACCGCCCAATGCTCATGTGTGGTATCAAGAAATCCCATGCTGTTCAGTATAACGCCATGCTCCCAGTTGGCTAGTTGACTCTCATCTCGATGCCCGCTTGATTTGCAGAGCAACAAGCTTCTCGGCATTAGTCAGCCACTTGTCCACAAACACTTGATCAGTAAAACGCTCAGATGACCTTCGAGCCCGTTGTCGCATGTCGAGTGTGTCTTCGGGTGAAAGAGTAAGGGCCTTGCGGAAGCCGTCGGCGTATTGCTCTGCAGTGGTGGCATGGAAACCTTGGTTGTACGTTAGCAATAATACATATTTGACAGAGTGATGTGCATCAGACTTACCGGTGGGTTTTCCATCGACCTCAATCACAATGTCTAGCTTAGGCCCACCAGAGTTGTTGACCACAGAGATCATACCAGCAGCTTGATACTCCACCACACCAATACCGAAATGTTCGTTCCACATGGCGTTCACTCCCACACTAGCTTTGCGCATCCACTCGAGCATTTGCGGCCACGGCGCGTCGCATATGAACTCCACATTCTCCTTGATGTGTAGTTCATGCGCTAGCAACCTCAGCTCGTAGACACGCTTCGCATCGTCGTGAGAGTTTCGTACTGAGCCAATCAGGACGAGCTTCGGGGTATGGTTGGGGTATGCTGGAAGTTCAGGTGTGGAATGCAGGAATGATGCGAAGGCCTCGAGAATAAGTCTGTGATTCTTTTCCGGTCGGAACTGCGCGATGTAGAGGAGGTAAGGGCCACGATTCTTCTCGCTGGACTCGGAGACTGGGACGGCTTCTATGACTTCTTCAACAGCTACAGGCGGAAAGACGACGTCGATGTCGATTGACTTGCTTCTTTTGATACGATATGGCTCCCAGAGAGTTTTAATGTGGCTTTGCGTCCATGTGGAGTTGGTCATTACCACATCAATGGTGCTACCGAGTTTGCTGTATAGTTTTGCAAAGAGTTGCCAGTACTTTTTCTTCGCCATACCCCGATATCCTGTGCCTGTTCCTGCATTTATACCTTGACCTCCAACTTGTAGCGAATCGAGCATATCCGTGGAAATGGTCGGGTAGTGTACGTATGCACCGGTGGGTACGGTTGGGAAGAGGAAGGACGACAGGCCAAGAGCGAAGGCGTAACCCATGGTATCTATGAAGATATCCGGTACAAGGAGGCTGAAGGCATCGTAGGCAAGGACGAGGGAGCCGAGAGATTGGCCCAGTAGTGTAAAACGCGGCCATGTGCTTGCGAGTACCCAGTCGCGAGTTGTGAGGTAGAGAAAGTGGACGGTCGGCGGGTGTAGCTGGATGTTGAAACGATCTTTGACACGTTTGAGAATGGCAGCTTTGTCGACATCATGGTCACCGGTGTAGACTATGCAGGTAGCCTTTGGCCAACGCTTTTGGTGTGCTCGGATCGCAGCCCATAGGACTCGCTCACCACCGCCTCCTGCGTTGCTGTAAAAACAGCATGTCAGCGACCATACAGCAGCACTTCAGAATATGCCACGCGTACCAGAAAGGGTGGAAGAAGCCGACAATACCATCCCATTCACTGTCAGCCTGGCCATGCTTCACCGTACCACTAGGAGGTGTGTTTCCAACTTGTTCCCAGTCTTCATCCTCTTTCTTTTTGTTCTTCTGCTGCGCCTCGAATGTCTTGGTCTCGCTTGCTACCCTGGCGAGTAACAGCTCTCGTCGTGTACGGGAAGATCGACGCAAGTGTTGTCCCACTAGTTCCGCAGCAAAGCGCAGGGTCTTGGGGAGAAAGACGGTAGCCAAGAGTGCGGGCACTAGTAGCGAGAGGAGGATGGGTAAAAGACCCATCTCGAAGCGACACCGAATGGAGGCACGGCGGAGGAGACAGACAGCGTAAGACTCAGGCCATGGACAAATGTTTAGGCAAAGCGACAGCTGTTCAGGTGGGATGACATCGGTTCCTGGCCCCGGCCCGAGAGCATGGAACCCTGACGCGCTAGCAGGAGCCTCTTTCTCTCGCGAGTCGGGCATTTGACTAGATCGTTGAAGCATCCCAAATTTATCACAACATGCTGTCGTCGCGCCTCTTGCGGCAGCCAGCATGCCAATGGCTCTCGCGCACCTCT